TAGCCAGTACCAGGTGGATTTTATGACAGTTTGCTGTGATTCTAATGAGTACCTTTATAAATAATTTGTTGCTTTTTTCTAACAGCTTTTAAGATTCTGTTCTTGTGCGGGACTTCTGGATTTTGACTATGGTATATCATGGAGAAGTTCCTTTCTGATTGTCATTATTTGGGGTTCTATATGACTCTCCTACCTGTATGTTCTTTCCCCTTGGTGGAACATTTTCTGCTATGATTTCTGTAAGTTTTTTATGCTCTCATGCCATCCTTTGATCTTTTAGTAATCTCAGTTAATCTTAGGTTAGTCTTCTTTGCATCATGTAGCAGCTATTGGATCCATTTTCCATGATCTCTTGTTTTCAGTGTATCTCTGAGTATATGGGTACCTGCATCAGCACTGTCTTCTAAGTTCTGACACTGTGTCCTAACAGTGGTCACTTCTGCTGCCCATAGTTTCAGTAGAATTTTTTATACTACTGAATAAATTCTGGATTTCTGTTTGGTTCCTTTTCTTGGACTCTTAATTCTATGCTAAACTGATCATTCATGTTTTGTATTCTTTTATTAAGCCATTATCTATTTAATTATATCTCTGAGCTTCTATGTTGTTTTCCAGGTATTTCAGTTCCAGGTTCCAGTCAGGCTGTATTTTGCTGCCAGTCTTTACACCACCCTTTTTATTCTCCATAAGATCAACAATTAATTTCACTGTAGAAGGATCCTTTCTTGGTACTTCTCTCTTCTCAAACAGCTGTCAAGGTTTCAGGAATTGCTAATCCAATTCAACATTCCCAAATGAAACCTTGGGAGGGACAAGTCCCTTCTGAGACCCCGTCACCGTGGAAAAACCAACCTCTGGGAGATTTGAAATTCTGATTCACATGAATTTCAGTTAAGTAAATACCACACCATCCCTGCCTACCTTCCAGCTGAGGGTTGCATGCCCTTTGGGTATTCTTCTCTTAATCAGAACCTTTATTATAATTATACTTCTGCTCATTTGTGCTTCCAGGGGATATGGGCTCAACTCGTGATGATACTTAGAGGCCTTATATAAGTCTGATTGTAAGGAATTCATTTCCTGTTCTCCTTCTTTAACTGTGTTTTATCTTTTCTTCTGATGGACTTGGTGAAAAAAGTTCATAACCATTGTGATTTTTGTTCTTCTGATCTTTTATTTGGACCATGTATAATAAATAGTCTCCTAAACTTTATTTCTTCCCATTTCTATCCACTTCCCGATGACCCTGTGTCGTCCTGATCCAGCTTTAGGACCCCTTGACTGACTCTTCAGGCCTGAAAGTCAGCAAGCATGGGTTAACTCCTTCTCAATACTCTTCTCTCAGCAAGTAGCCAGAATGACAGGATGCCCAAAGTAATTTTAGGGTCCCACCTTTTAGGGAGAAAAGTGTTAGGCAGAAAGTCATTAGCAGACCTGGAGACAAGGCTAGGGACTACTTTAAAACCAAAGATGAGATTTCTTTCCTTCACCATCTTAATCATTAGCTATAGATAAAATCCACACAAGCTTATTTTTTCAAACTTTAGTTCAAGAGAACCTAACATTCTCTGAGCATGCTGATAAGGTCTAGGGCCTATACAAAGTCTAGACCATGGGTTAGGGGTTGGAAAAACTTAAAGGTCTCAAAACAAACCAATGGAAACATTTATCTAAGAACCAAACAAGGACCTACTTTGCTCTAAGTGACCACTTACGTTTCCCTCTTACCTTTACTCTGTAGGTAAACACAACCCATTTTATTTATAAAAGAACACTGACCTCAGAGGAAGAAAAAGATATTTCTTTTTTTTTTCTTTTTTAATTTTAAAGAGTAAAAGAAGGACAACAGTAATGAGGGACTTACCAAATTACAGACAAAGTGGTAGGAAATTATCAGCGGTTGTTGTTTTACATATTGTTATTTACAAGATAGTTTCTCAGGAAAACAAATAGACAAATAATAGTGAGTTACAGACAAAAGTGGTAGGAGATTATCAGTGGTTGTTGTACTATACTTTGGTATCTTCAAAGTGGTTTCTAAAGAAAATAAATAGAGCTATACATGAGTGACCAATTGAATAATCATTGACTATTCTCAATGGTTGTTGTAGGAAACACATAGTAATAAACATACATCCATTTACGAAATAGCATAGGAACAATACAAACATCACAGTTATGGACAAATTAGTAGGAAAATATCAATGGCTGCTGTAATACATGGTGATATCTTTAAAGTGGTTTCTCAGGAAGACAGAGATATGCAAGAAGGATCTAACAAGTAATTACAGCCTAAGGGTTGTCAAAAATAGCATATTACCTCCTCTCCAGTGACTTCTTTCACTGAGGTGTGACGGCTGGAAGGCAGGCCAGGAATGAAAAGAAGGACCGAGAGACTTGCACCTCTGTCTAGCAACAGGCTGTTTTCTTGTTCCTCTACAGTCATGATAACCCTGGGCTCCTCCATGGAGATGACAGTCTGGCCAGAGGGAGAAGACAGAGTATGCCCCGGGCCCCCTCATTCCTGTTGGACTAACTGGTAGGATGGGTCTGAGCTCTAGGGCCTCCGCTTCAGAGGATAGACCGATCTCCAGTGGTCTCCTTTGCATCCAGGGCATGGCCCAGGGTGCTTTTTAGGGCAGTTAGAGAAAGATATTTCTTAAAAGACCCAGTTGGTCATATAAATATAACATTCAGTACAATTGCCATTTTGGTGCCTACACTTCATGCTTGAAGCTAAATTCTCTCTCTGAAAATCTGTTTTGCAATATACTCTTACCTTTACTCTGTACTATAGCCTACATGTGTCTGAATCTTTTGTCAAATACACGAAGAATTAAGGCGTGTTGCCAGTTCCTTACAGTGAGTGTCGGGACCTCACTGTGTTAGAATGTGGTTTCCCAGTAATAATATCACAGGAAAATACTCATGCTCTTCAAATTTGAGGTAATATTGGGAGGATACGGTGCCCATTTGAGAACCCTGTGGGTTATGGTGGAAGATCTGGGGGGACAGATCTCAGTGTCCGTGAGCCTAAGCCATTGCCAAAGCATTTGTCTTCAAGAAGAGAACAAATCAGAAATGAAAGGAATGGCAGAACACAAGGATTTAAAGGTCAGGTGGATAATTAGGTTTTATTTTCTCAGGATTGGTAGGTTTTATTTTCTTAGGATTGGAACTTAGTGCTTTAAGGTACCATGGAGTTCTGTTCCTTTTCCCTTCTCTGTTTGAGGACTGTTCATCTAACCCTTGGATTGCATGGTGGTCTCATGTCTAAACTTGTAGGAGATGGATCTTTTGTGCATCTACAATTGCTCAAGTGAAATATACCAAACCAAAAGTTAGGATTTAACCAGGCATGGTGGGACATACCTGTAACCTCAGCAATTGGGAGGCTGAGGCAGGAGGATCACTGTGAGTTCAAGGCCAGCCTGGACTACATAGTGAGACCCTGACTCAAAACAAAACAAAAAAAATTGGGACTCAGAATCTGATACCCATGAATATGTTTCCAGGGACAACAAAACAAAATATTTCACAACACAATATTTGACAGTCCTTAGAAACTTGCTATAAATGTCATTATTAGAAGTTAAATGTTGAATGAATGGATTTATGGATGAAAAGATTAAATAAATAAAACTTGATCAATGAAAAGTGTAGTTAGCTCCCAGAAACAAATGTTTCTAGAATTACAAGGTCAAAAACTATGACGGCTGGGCTGGGGGTATAGCTCAGCGGCTTAGTGCCTGCCTGGCAAGCGCAAGTCCTGAGTTTGATTCTGGGTACCAAAAAAAAAACCAAAAAAACTGTGAAGGCTGAATGGCAACATATAGAAGGAGAAAGTGAGTTTGTACAGTTGGGTGATACTCCAAAGGATTTGGAACTTCAGAAAAATAAGACACCATTTATTTCTACTTCAGGGGTCTGGTCCAGCTATCTTTTTCCTTTTCTCTTTAGATTATCAAGTAGTTTACAGTTGGGAATAAGCTTTCATAACTGAGCATACCTCTTGTCTAAGTCAGAAACAAGATTAATTACCTTTAGTCTTAGTCCTAAGTAAGAAGTGAAAAGTTTGAGGACAATACAGAGACAGGAGAGTCCTGTTGACTTATTTCGATATTTTTGAAATACTAGAAATCTATTCAGATCTCATGTACTTTATTCATATATCAACTACCTCTGTAATATGTCAATGAAAGATAACATGTAGATGTTATCAGAGGAAAGACTGAAGCAGATAGACTTAACCATCTACTCAAGGACAGAAGATAGAATTTAATCTTTTGTTTATTGTTTAATTCATTGTCCTTTTTTTTAGCATTTACTGCTGTATTGGGCCCATTTGTGGAGCAAAGAATAATAACATCTTTTTATCCTGAAAGAGTTTATAATTTAGAAAGTTCTCTGTCCATTCCAGTATCAAGCAGTTGTTTCTTTAATAAACTTAGGTCAACTGTAGTCATTATTTTTATTTTTCTGTAGATTAATGGTCCTCTGAATCTATTTAAACAAAAATGCAGTTAGACATTATGTGATTTGTTTATACTGAACCTAACAATATAAAGTAGAAATAAAAAGGTTGTCATTTTAAGTGAGTAGAAATGTGCTTTGTTAAGCTGTGTATAATTTCTAGACTTAATAAGGCAATATAATGAATTTCAAGATTTAAAAGAAATGGTTCTTTATTATTTTAGGTTATAACAGGAGTGAAGGAAATACCACCAGCCAGAAATACTCCAATATCATCCAGCCATCCAGCTTCTCCAAATCCACACCATGGGGAGGCAGTAGAGATCAAGAAAAGCCGTCTTTCAGTTCTTTTGATTCTAAAGCTTCAACTACCAGAAACACAGGTTTTGGACTGTCTCAGAACCCATTTGCTTCACCTAGCTCTGAAGAGCAGAAAGATGAAAAGAAGCTTCTGTAAGGAAAACTGCTACTCATTTACTGGTTTTTTTCCAAAAGCACTTTAAGTATTTCTTTAAAAATAAGTAATTATTAAAAACTCAGAGGACAAAACTCAGAAAACTCATCCAGGAGCCTATCACTCAGCACTAACCACTGTTTTGTTATATATCATTCTAGACTTTATTTCACTTAAAAATATATCATCTTTCTGATATTAGAAGCATGCCTTCTCAGGATTATTTTTTTTTCCACTTTGTACTAATGACACTTTTTAATGTTTAAGTTTAGTACTGCTTACATTTACTGTAAATCATGAGTTCTTTACAAACTATCAGATAAGTCAGAGCAGTTTGTGAATTTGAAGATTGTGTCACTTATTTTTTTAAAACTTTCTTTTTTTTTTGAGACAAGGTTTTGCTCTATAGCCCAGGCTAGCCTCCAACTCAGCACAGTCCTCCTGTCTCAGCCTCCTGAATGCTGGGATTACAGGCCTGTGCCACCACACCCGGCTATTTTTCTAAAGCTTTTGCTTCATTGACCCTATTCAGACAGATTTCATTCATTATTGTATAGAACAGTCATTTTGTTTGTTTGTTTTTGTTCTTTTTGAGATAGGGTCTGGCTATGCAGTTCAGGCCGACCTTGAGCTCACTTTGTATCCCAGGCTGGTCTCGAACTCACAACGATTCTCCTCATTCTCCAGCCTCAGCCTCCCGAGTGCTAGGATTACAGGCGTGCGCCCCCACACCCAGCTATAGTACAGCCATGACATTTCTTAAGAACATTTGTGCTGAAATTTGTGACTTCTACCAAAACAGTGCATGGCTGTCTAACACTTCCTTTCCTCATGGCTTTCAAGACAGAATTTCAAAGTGCTCAGTAGTCTTTTGGTTCCCATAAATAAATTAGAACCAGTGGTGGAAAAAAAAAAAAAAAAGAACCAGTGGTGAATATTTTGAGCCCATATCAGATTTTTCCACCTATGTGAGGTCCCTAGAAAAGGCAAATTCATAGAAGTAGAAAGTAGAATAGAGGCCACCAGGGCCTTGGAGGAGAGGGATAGGGTGTTATTATTTAAAGATACAGAGATTCTGTTGCAGATAATGATGAAAAAGTTCTGGAAATAATGGTGATCACAGCATAACACTGTGAATGTTTTTACTGCCCCACTTTGTACCTTTACAAATAGCTAACATGGTAAATTTTATATTATGTATATTTTACCACAGTAAAAATTTTGAAAAATAAAAACAAACATTTGGAGCTGTGTATCATATGTAATTGATTTTTTAAGTTGGGGAGTCTCTGTTTGGTTTTTGGTGGTGGTAGAGATCAAACTCCAGGCCTTGCATATCTAAGCCCTGACTTAAAAAAGCAAGGTAAAAGAGCAAACAAAAATCTCCTTTTCATACTCATTGTGATCCTGAATTTAATAATATTATCCTCAGATACCTGTTTTATTTATTGTGATATTCTGTATAAAGAGAAACATCACTGTAAAACTGAATCTATTATCTATTCATGGCCTTGATACAAAGTAACTATTGTAGACATGGATCTGTTTCCCATATTGGAAAATGTATGAATTAGATAAAATGATCCCTGATGACCTGTAACCTACTTTTTAAATTTTGATTCTCTATCAGGTGAGTGGTACTTTCGTTGTTTGCAATTAGATGATTACTGATGTTTATGATAATAAGCAAAGAGATTTTAAACTCAATATTGTGCTTATTATACTTTGGTTCTTTAAAAAGTGTAAGGTATTTATGATAATTCTTAATTATATTGGTTAATAGTTCAGTTGTTAATTTCTTTGATATTGTTTTTGGGTTTTTTGTTAGTTTGGTTTTTTTATCTTTTTGAGACAGGGTCTCACTATGCCGTTCAGGCTGGCCTTGAGCTCACTTTGTAGCCCAGGCTGATCTCGAACTTGCACCGATCCTCCTGCTTCAGCCTCCCAAGTGCTGGGATTACAGGGGTGTATCACCACGCCTGGCTCTCTGATATTGTTGGTAACCAGAAAATATACTTTGTATTTCTGTAAACTCCTACATTAAAGAAGATTCTTCGGGGCTGGGATTTAGCTCAGTGGCACAGCGCCTGCCTGGCAAGCGTGAGGTCGTGAGTTCAATGCCTGGTACCAGAGAAAAACCAAAAAAATAAAAAATAAATAAAGAAGTTTCTTCAGAAAATGTAATGGAAAAAAATCTAAAATTGTATATTTTCTAAAATTTAAAATTTCAGTCATTGAAAGTTATGAACAATTTTTGTCTAGCAGGTTAAAAAAATCCTGATTTGTTCATTGTTTTGGTTTTCAGGGAAGGAATCATAAAAGATATGGAGATTTGGGAGTCATCAGGGCAGTGGATGTTTTCTGTTTATTCACCAGTGAAAAAGAAACCTAGTATTTCAGGTAACTGAGAAATTGTTTTTGGAAGGTTTTTTGTTTTTTGGGTTTTTTGCTTTTTGTTTTTGTGGTGCTGGAGATTGAACCCAAGGTATCACACATGCTAAGCAAGTATTCTACCACTGAACCATACCCCCAGCCCAGAAATTGAGTTTTTAAAATATATTAAAAAACTACTACTTTCTAAAACCAATACCATGCTAAAACAAAGAAATGAACTACAAACTTAGATGCAGTTAGGATTTTTATACATTAGTTAAAACTATTCACGTATTGTAGCACAACTTTATAACTCAGAGATTGAGGTTGGCAAATATAGTTCCTTTAGGATATGGATGTAGTTTGCAGTGAGTGTGGTGGTGCATGCCTATGATCCTAGCATTGAAGGAGGCTGAGACAGGAAGATAGCAAGTTCAGGTCTCCCTGAGCAAGACCTTTCCTCAAAATAAAAAGTACAAATGCTAGGGATGTCTAGCTCATTCGTAGAGTTCCTCAGTGTTTGATCCCTACTACCCCGCCAGCATGAATATATTCCTCATGAGAGATGAACAAAACGAGGACCCACCACAATTCCATAACCTAGGAAGAGGCTCTGCTTTCTTGTTTCCCTATATATGAAACGGCACAGCTTTCTAAATGCCTGCAGTGAATAGAAGAGTCACCTCCTGCCTACTATTAAGGGCTTGGCTACTTGGTTCTATTCTTTCTTTCCTTCTGAGAATAGTTACTTTCCTTAAAGCGTATTGAGACCTATCCTAGAGATAATGTTTGAAGACAATGAGTCTTACCTGCACTACCAGGATGGCATTTCTTTAAAATACCTCTTTCTTTCCCATTTTTTCTTTACCATGGTCCCTCAACTTGGGCTGAAAGCTCAGTTACCAGGCTTTTCCAAGCCCTCTGTAGGTGCTCCTGAGCCGTTCTCTTGTTGAGGAAACAGCTGACCTAGAAGACCAGAGGAAGGGAGAAAAAAAATAATGCAAATGGTAGTGATAGTTTACTTTTTCTTGTTGCTGAGACAAAATACCCAACACCCAAAGTTAAAGGTGGAAAGGTTTATTTGGCTCACAGTTTGTAGAGGTTTCAGTTCACAGTTGGCTGGCTCCAAGGCAGGGTGGCATGGCAGAGGGGCATCATGGAAGAGAAACAGTTTGTGGTAGGCAGAAGGCAGCAAAACAGCAAAGTAGCAAGCAGCAAGTGAAGATTGCAACCCTCTCTGTCCCTTATGTGCTCCAGCCAGACTATACACCCAAAGGGCAGGTAGCACTCACACCCAGGGGGAGTTTCCCATTATCCACACCCAGAGCAATGCCAAACCAATCATGGACTAATTTAGTAATCGCACACTCTTGATCCCAGCATTCCACACTGTAGATCTCTGAAAAGTGCCACCTTTGACCAACCACGTGAGGTTTTAAGGAGGGTACATCTAGACACAAGCTATAACAAGTATTAAGACTTTAATTAGTTGAAATAATAATTCTTAATTAGTATTTAAGTCTTACTCGGTCCAGAATTGAACCTAGTGCCTAATGTTCTAAAGCAGTAGTTCTCAGGGGCTGGGGATTTAGCTCAGTGGCACAGGGCCTGCCTGGCAAGCACGAGACCATGAGTTCAATTCCCAGTACCAGAAAACAAACAAACAAAAAAAGCAGTAGTTGTGAAATTGTTGAATGTTGATTTGATCTGTGCATATGGTTACCATATATAAAATGTAGGACATCCAGTTACATCCAGTTACATTTAAATAAAGAATATTTTTAATATATGTATATCCTATGTAACATTTGGGACATACTTACAGTAAGAAAATATTTGTGCCTACAATTCAAGTTTAACTGGGCCTGCTATATTTTATTTGCTAAATCTGGCAGCCTTATCCCTAAGCCACCTTAGTGGCTGTAGAAGTTTAAGGATATTCATAATACTAAGACATTAGTTGCCATTTTCACTGTGTGGATATTTGTAGTGTTGATACAAAAGCTCTGATAGATAAAATTGATAGCCATTTCTTAGCATGAGTTAAAGCAGAGGCAATAAAGTACTAGTAGAAGACAGATTAATTGTAATAAAGAAAAGTTTTCAGTGCCACTTTAGCAAGAATATCCTTAATGAAGAGGTAAAGCCAGACACAGTGGCCCACACCTGTGATCCTCGCACTTCGGGAAGTTGAGGCAAAAGGATCACAAGTTTGAGTAATACCTGGGTAACAGTGAGACCCTGTCTCAAAAAGTGAAAAGGGTGGAGGTGTAGCTCAGTGGTAGAGCACCCCTAGGTTCAATCCCTGTGCCACAACATTTTTTAAAAAGTAAAAAGTATTTTATTAAATTTTGAGCCTTGAGTATACACTTTAAATATTCTACGTAACCAAATGATAAGCACATACAAAGGGCTTCTACCCCATACCCAAGTGTGATGTTTATCTTGAGAGAAAACCGTTGTGTGGTCATTTTAGTTATAAGCCGACCAAACCACTTTTTTCACAGTTTTTATTGCAAAGCGTGACAGCTCAGGTTATTCATACTTAGGTATTTGATGGGTATGTTGAATGAATAAGTGAAGTGAGCCTGTTGTTTCAAAGAAAACAACTGACAGTGTTTATTACCAATGATAAAATTCATGCTTTCAAGCAAAAATTAAAATTATGGAAAACTTTTCTGTCACCGTGAGTGTGATGGCTTCTCAGTACTCTAAAATTTCTTCTAATGAGATGGATGACATTAACAAGTGTGAATTTTTTATATTATATAGTGACATTGATATTTTTTATGTTATATAGTGACATTTCCAACATTTGGAAGTTCTGCATTCTCATTGAGCCAATATTTTCCAAATGATCAATGTTTGGTCCTACAACATTATACATGGCTGAAAACCTATTTTAAGTACAAAATAAACCAGTTCCGGTGGATTTTAGTATACTATCACAAAAAACTCATTAGTGTTTTGTTTTTGTACTGGCAGTTGAACCTTGAGAGTGCTGAGCTATATCCCCAACCCTATTTATAAGTTGAGGAGGCTGGCCTCAAACTTGCTGTCCTTCTGCCTCAGCCTCCAAATAGCTGAGATTATAGCCTTGTACCACCACACCCAGATGCACATTGACTTTTGAATCCACTTTATAACTAATCTTTAAGAAACTATAGTTTTGACTGGGCATGGTGGTACATGCCTGTAATCCTAGCACTCAGGAGGCTGAGGCAGGGGGATCATTGTAAGTCTGAGACCAGCCTGGGCTACAAAGTAAGCTCAAGGCCAGCCTGAACTGCGTAGTGAGACCCTGTCTCAAAAAGACCAAAAACAGAAACTATAGTTTTGGTATGATATCAAAGAATAGTATCCACAATTACCTGAAAAGGTCCTTTTCCAATGACATATCTGTGTGAATATAAATTTTTTTATATACTTCAACATGTTGAAACCATATTCAACAGATTGCAACAGAATGAATGCAGAAAAGTATATATAAGAACCTAGCGGTCTTTCATTAAACCAAACATTAAAAGATTTACGGACATAGAACAACGTTACTCATAAATGTTTTGTGTTTGCTTTATTTTGTTTTGTAAAATAAATGTATGTGGATATTCAGTTGGGATTTTGGGGGATTTGTTGTTGTGCTGTGCTGTACTGTACTGTGTGGTATTGTGTTGTGTTGTGTTGTGTTGTGTTGTGTTGGATCAGATCAAACCCAAAGCCTTGTACATGCTAGGCAAGTGATCTGCTGCTGAGCAGTATCCCCAGCCTCTGGTTCCTTATTTTAAATTAATTAATAAGTACTTTCTAAATTTCTTAGTTTTCATTTTCAAATGTGTTAATTATCAATATATGTAACTTACATAAACAACAGCTTTTGGGAGTCCTTCAGTAAAATGTAAATGGGTTCTGAGACTGAAATGTTTGAGTACTGCTCTCCTTAAGCATCCATTATAAATAATGAATTCACTTTTCTTATACAGCTAGAATGATGCTCCTTTATACCACCTCTGCGAGTTACTCTTTGGTAGTTACTCAGTTCTTTTCTGTGGTCTTTGGTTCAGATGAGGAACCCTGCTTGAGCGTGGCTGGTAGGAATAGAGGGTAACTCACAGTGTTCTTTAGGTAGAGTAGTCATTCATTCTAGGAGGTAGTGCATGCACATTTTTATTGTTTTATTTTTATTGATTTTTTTTACATGCATATTTTTAATGCTTATGTTGCTTATTGACAATTTTCCCCTCAGAAAAATTGCATCATTCTAATTCCCTTACCAGCAATTTAGGGGATGTGGTAGGCTGACAACTGGTGATCAACTTGTAACAACACCCAGCTGAACTGAAGCAGCGTGGTCCTGGGTGTGGGAGGCCCACCTGAGGAGTGTTGCCAGCAGCGTACGAGGCAGAACTGACGAAGAAGTTTAGAGGCTGTTGGGAGCTGTTAGAAGCCGTTGGGTGCTGTTAAAGGCTGTAAGGACCTGTTGGTTCTCTTGAAGGAGCTTGTCATGCTGGCTTTGCTGATGAATTTGGCTGCTCTCATCATCTGAGGAGCTCGGGACCTTGTTGTTGCTGAGAATGGCTTTGGTTTACTTTGGGGAAGCTCTGGTCCTCACCTTGAGCATCGCTTTCACTTCCTGTGTCCAGAGGGGAAGATGGTACACTGCTCAGTCTCCTGGAGAAGCTTGTCGCATTGGCTTTCCCGATGAAAACTTGGCTTTCCTCGTCATTGGAGGAGCTCAGGACCTCACTGTTGCTGAGGATGGCTGTGGTACCTTTCAGGGGAGCTCTGGTTCTTACTTTGAGCATTGCTTCCTGGCTGCAGTGCAGATCCCTCAGCCTGCTAGCACAGATCCTTCATCCCACTGGCACAGACTTTCTAGCTTCTATCACTGACCTTTGGGCCTTGCCAGCACAAACCTGTGTGAGACATTGTTACGGGCTCTAAGCCTCCGGTTGGACTTACGGGAAGCATTGCTATGGGCTCTAGGTCTTCAGCTGGACTCCTGCAGGACATTATGGTGGGATCCAGGCTCTCAGCTGGATTCTTTGGTCTTTAGTGTGTGGACAGATTTCCTGCACTCTTTGTATATGATTCTTTGGGTAACTATTGTAAATAATCTTACAAAATATGTGTCCTGTATTATATTGTTCCCCTTGCAAAAAACCCCAAACTACAACAGGGAAATATCCATTTTATTTATTGAATAAGTATAAGTATTTTTGTTTAATTTTTGCCAGTCCAATAAGTAAAGCATTTTATCTGTAGTTTAAGTTACATTTTAAAATTTAATTTCATTTGTTCACTGGCTATTTTAATTACTTGTGAATTGCTTGTTCTTTATCTTTGCCCATATTAATTTTTCTTATTGATTTGTGTTGTTTATATGTTGAGAATATTAGCTGTTCTCCTAGCATATATGTTGCAATTATGGTTTCCGTAGTTTACTATTTATTATCAACTCTGATAGAATATTTTTAAGAGTGAAGTTTGAATGTATATGTAGCTGGATCTTTCTTTTTTTTTGGTATTTCTTCCACTCCACTTATTTTTAGAAAATTCTTACACATTCGGAGATGATAAAAGTGTATTTCATTCTAATTTTCCACTTTAATAGATATTAAATAGTGTAGGCTTTGAATTTTTTCTCATGATTATGAAAATTTTCTGATAATCAGTGGTAACATGTTTTCTTGTCTAGCACCTCTAGCTTTACTATCAAAATTACTGGTATTTATTTTTAAGATTCCAATTGATTTCTCACTTCAGGTTTTACAGATATTTCACCAGAGGAATTGAGGCTTGAATACCAGAACTTCTTAGCCAGCAATAACTTACAGAGTTATGTAAGTTTGTTTCCTGTTCGTCTACCTCGGTGACAAATTGGCTGTCAGTTACTGTTTTCTGTGTTTGCAGTGGCTTGCTTATGTTTTGCCAGAGTTCATGAGGACTGTAATTTTTTTTTCTAAATTACTTTCTTTGATAATTGGTTACCTAAAATGATAATATATTTTGCTTTAGTAATAAGGAATATCATTTTTTAAATATAGGAACTAGTCCAGAAATCAAACCTTTTCATCATTTGACAGATGTTTATCACACATCTTTTAGGTGCAGATTCCATAGTGAATGCTAGGGGTAAAAAAGCAGTGTTTTAGCCAGGCATGGTGGTGCTTGCCTATAATCCCAGCACTTGGGAGGCTGAGGTAGGAGGATCATTGTGAGTTTGAGACCAGCCTGGGCTACAAAGTGAGCTCAAGGCCAGCCTGAACTGCATAGTCAAAAAAGACCAAAAATAAAAGCAATGTTTTATATAGATTAGCTTCCTTACATATCATATATCAATTAAAAAATCTAAGTTGGGTCAGTAGTTTATAGAATAGAGTAAGTTGGGTGCCTGAAGGAAATGATAGTATTTTTTTTTTTTTAATTTGCTGGGGGTTTTTTTGTTGTTTTTTTTTCCAGTACCAGAAATCAAACTCATGACCTTGCACTTGCTGGGCAGGTGCTGTACTACTGAGCTAAATCCCCAGCCCTGATAGTATTTTTCTTTGTCTGTAATCATGATCCTACATTTCAACTTGTTCACACAGTCACCTTCCATCCAAAGGTGCTACCAGGTATTTGTGATTAACCCATTGATACAGGGAGTTACTGAGCCAGGTATGATGGCTCACTCCTATAATCCCAGCACTCTAGGAGATTTAGGCAGAAGAATTGAAAGTTCAAGCCCAGCCTGGGCAATTTAGTAAGACCCCTCCCAAAATAGAAAATTTAAAAAGGGATTGGGATGTAGTTTAGTGCAAAGATCCTGGGTTCAATCCCAAGCCCCCCTACACACATATACATGCACACCAAAAAGAGGAGCTGGTGAACAGGGAGGGGTGACTAAAATGAGAATACCTTTGGCAAACAGGAGCAAGTCTGTGCACATTTTATAAGGGATGGGCCATAGAACTGTTACATAACCTTTTTTTATTTTGGCAAATATATGAAATTGTTATTGATTACATTAATTTAAACATTCATTGTTAAGTTACTATTTTCTGTCTTCTCACTTCAGCTAAATTCTGTCCAACAGTTGATAAATCAATGGAGGAATAGAATAAATGAACTGAAGAATCTAAATACCTCAACTAAAGTAGCTTTGGTGAGTAGTGGAATGTTTTCTTCAAGGAAGTGTTTTATCTGTTACTCTTTTGCAGAGGATATTTCACTTTGTTGTTTTTGTTGTACCGGGAATCGAACTCACGACCAGGCAGGCACTGTGCCGCTGAGCTAAATCCCCAGCCCCGATATTTCACTTTGGATTTGGAAAGCAAAGTAAAAATTCTGTCAAGAATTAATGATAAAGGGGCCAGCAAGATGGCTCAACGGCACAGTACCTGCCTGGCAAGCACAAGGTCCTGAGTTTGATTTCTGGTACAAAAAAAAAAAAACAAAAAGAATTAATGTTAAGGGCTAGGCATGGTGGCACATGCCTGTAATCCTAGCACTCAGGAAGCTGAGGCAGGAGGATTGCTGCAAGTGGGCCAGCCTGGGCTACAAAATTATTTCAAGGCCACCCTGAACAATATAACAAGACCATGTCTCAAAAAACAAAAATAAACAAATGAGAGAAATTATATCTGGTTTCATTACCAAAGTCTTGGAGGAAAGGAGTCAGTGAAAAGTTCCTTGAAAGCAGGATTAACATTTCAGCAGAGACAAAAGAACATAAAAAATATTTAGGGAATAGGAAATGTTCAGTGGGTTTTAGTAGTAAGCTTTTAATAATGTAACAGTGAATCCACTTTAACTTATATAGTAGGTATCTTCTAAAGGTCTCTTTTTATCTATATCTACACTTTTGATGAATGTAGCTCAAACTTTACAATATAGACATTGAAATGTATTGTTAAAAATATTTTTCTGAGCAAGGCATGGTGGCACACACCTGTAATCCCAGCACTCAGGAACCTGAGGTAGGAGGATTAGTGTGAGTTCAAGGCCAGCCTGGTGACTTTTCAAGATCAGCTTGAACTGCATAGTAACACCCTGTCTCCAAAAAAAAAAGGTACTCAAGAATTATTTATTAAGCACTTTATTATTTGCATATGTTTTTTTCAAAGCTTTCTGATTTAAAGGATGAAGCAAATCATGCAGCACCTACATTTGGATTTGGAAGCAGACAAGCAGGAACATTTGGGTCACCAGGTAAGTGATAAAGTAATGCAGAACTTTTGCTAGTTCAGAAAAGTAGGATTATGTAAGTTTCAAATTACAAAGCTTAAATCACCCTTGCAAATTCTGCCAGCTTCCATTATGGAACATAAGAATGTAGCATATTAAGTATTTGTGTGAGGCAGGTCAGAATGGGCATATTGTTTGAAAGAGCTGTGGCTCAAACTTTCGAAGTACACGTTAGGAATGTTTCCTCAAGAGTTTCATAGACAGCTATGATAGCAGAACCTTTGATTGTCACTGTCGCTGTCAAGTGACAGTTCTGGTGAGATAGGGGACAACCAAAAGTGAAAGCCCACTCCCTAGTCCCTGAGATTTCTCTTGGGTAAAGGTAAATCACAGGTAGCAGAAATGACAGGAGAGTAGAGTTTAGTGAGTTTGTCCTAACTGATCATTTTCATTTTTCTCTTGCAAAAAATTCTTCCTAAAATGTCCAAACATGGTAGAAATAAGAAAAGGAGGAGTAATGGGGCTATATTTTCTGACTATAATAGATTATTTTTTCTTTTTCTATTTATTTAAGGTTTTCCAGTGAGTAACAGCAGCACTACTATTCCTCAGAATTTTAGTTTTAAAACAAACCCTGGAATTGTCGCTGTCCCTGATGGAAGCCCTTCTGTGTTTGGGGCCCCTCTAGCGTTTGGAGCTATGCCCTCTTCTAGTTCTGCCAGTTCAACTTCCACTCCAAATTTTAGATTTGGAAAACCTGAAATCACTTCTGCTGCTTCATTTTCATTTAAAAGCCCTACAGCCTCTAGTTTTGGATCACTCGCATTTTCAGGATTTCCAGCTTCCGTGGCAGCAGGTCCTTTTGGAGCTCCAGGGGCCCCAGCTTTCGGAAGTGGCAGTTCTGTGGCTGGTTTTGGTAGTCCTGGCTCACCTTCTCACACTGCTTTTTCTAAGCCATCTAATGACAGTAGAGCTACCTCCCTCACAGCCTCCAGTGTCACCGTTACAACAGACAACTTGTTATTCACACCCAAGGATCAACTAACAGCAGAAGAACTGGAACAATTTCAATCCAAGAAGTTTATTCTGGGGAAAATTCCATTAAAGCCACCACCTGTGGAGCTTCTACATATCTAAAAGGGCAGTTTTAAATACAGAAAAGAATAAAGAGATTGGGGGTCTTTTGGGATTTTTTTTGAGTTAGGAATCATACCTGACTCTACTACTAAGCTATGCTCACAGCCTTGGGAATGGCTTTTCAAATTGTCTTATGTGGTTCATATAAAAGAATATATAGAGATACATATAGATAGATATATGTATGTATGAATGTTTATATATATATGTATGTATGTATATGTATGTATATAGATGCTTTCAGTAAGTTTGAGGATATTTAAAGTTTACCTTTCTTCTTGAGCCTAACTGCATAAAACATAATAAAATACAACATCAACAAGGTAATTTTTTTGGACTGTAATTACAAATGGAACTGAAATAATTTATATGTATTGAATAAAATAATTTTCTTATTCTATATCACTTTACTACTTTAGAACTTAAAAAATTTGTACTGAATAAATTATTTTCTCACTCTGTATACCATTTTATTGTCTCACCTTTTAAAGCTGTGCATGTGTAAGACTGGGGATTGAACCAAGGGCCTTGTACGTGCTAGTTTTCTGCTACTAAGCTATATCTCCAGCCCTTGATTTTTTTTTTTTACATAACCTAATAAAAGATATATACTCCCAATTGTTTTAATATATATTCAACGGATTCAGTCTTCAGAGGATCTAAATTTCATTATGCTTTTTGAAGGACTATAACTCCAACTGATGTTCTGGAACCCCCAGCATTTGGAACAGAATCCATACCCAAGAATTCTTATTTTTTATGTTTGAAATCATGCCTGCTGTAAAGATCATAAACAGACTATAAGTTTCCTTTTCTTTGTCTTCAAGTTCTAAAGAGTTTTCAGTACTCCAAAATAATAGCTGAATCAGCATTTTCTTCTTAAATCCTGCACTACATATAGATGTCTTAGTCCATTCCTGTTGCTATAACAAAATACCTGAGCCTGGCTAACTTACAAAGAACAGAAGTTTATTTATGACAGTTGTAGAGGCTGGAAGTCCAAGTTTGCTGTTTTTGTTTTTTAAGGAGGGGAGGTTTATTTGGGCTGTGTTTAGAGGTTTCAGTCCAGTCCCCTGGCTTCAAGGCAGAAAACGCATGGAGGAAGGGGCTGGAGGAGGAAAGCTGCTCCCATCATGGTACCCAGGAAGGAGAAAGACAGCAGGAAGTGAGCTGTACTCTTTCAGGATACACCCCCAGTGACTGCTTTGGAAGATTTAGGTGCCAGCAAGTTTCACTGTCTGATGAGGACCCGCTGTCTTCCAAACTCTTCTATATGTAAGGGTTCCAGATTATGTCCGTGCAGATTATATGCTCATGACTGAATCACCTAAAGGCCCCACCTTTTATTAGTAGCACATTGGCAACTTTGGGAATTGGGTGACACATTCTTTTTCTGACAGTGGATTCCAAGCTCCCTTATGTCCCAGTTGAAATTCCCAGTGCCCTTGAAGCTCTCAGAGATTGCAACTAAAAGACCCACTGTTTTCAAATGTGCCTGGCTATAAGAATCACCTGAAGTGTTTGTTGACCTGGATAAAATATCCAGATTGTGGGGCTTTTCTATTAGGCTGGGTTTGGAAGTATGTTAACAAGTATTCCAAATGATTTTTTAGAAAAGTTTGGGAAACAAATTCATCCAGCTGAACTTTACTACTTAGTAATATTTGGTTGGGAATCTTATGTGTGCACACATCCAAAAATGTGAATTTAATGGAACTCAAAATTGTCAAATAGCACCAGGCGTGATGGTGCATGCCTGTAATCCCAGCACTTGGGAGGTGGAGGCAAGTGGATCGTCAAGAGTTAGAGACCAGTCTGGGCTACAAAGTGAGCTCAAGGCCAGCCTGAACTGCATAGCAAGACCCTGCCTCAAAAAGAAAAAAAAGAAAGAAAGAAAATTGTCAAAAAGTGCAAAGTTGTCAAAAAGCAGAAGCAAGTGTTACAGATTATTTTAAAAAGTGTGAGAGACTGAAACATTGGCAATTAAGTTTCAACATGAATTTTGGGAGACACTTGGTTCTAACAATGCAACAGTATGCAGGCGTAGACGTGTCAGAAGTCAAGAAGAGGAACTCCTAGACTTAGGCTAAGGAGTAGCAGGACTCCAGAAAACCAGAAATGGGTAAGAGTGAGGTCAAGCACAGAGGCAGTCTGTGTTTCCAGATGCCAAGAAGGAGTTAAAGGAAAAAGGCAGCAAGAGTCTATGCCACATCCGGGTTTTTCCAATGAGCAAGAGACAATTTCAAAGAGCTGGGCTAACTGTAAGGCTTACACGCTCCAAAGCAGAAACAGCCCCCTTCACAACTGCTGCAGTAACTGTCTCCCCCAAGTCCTAGTGGCAGAACTACAGATAAGGTAATACTGCAATAAACTGATTTAACTTGCTCGGTTGTTTGACTACAGATGAAAAGGGGAGATGTAACAGCTGAGAGTAGATTAGAAGGGAGAGAGTGAGCTGATAGTGAAGAGAAGTCTGTAAGGGGCTGGAGGTATAGATCAGTGATAGAGACAGTGCTTAGCATATACGAGACCCTGGGTTCAAACCCCAGCACCAATGAATAAAAATTATTTAAAAGGCACAGAATGAATTAGCTATACAGTATTATAAAATAATGGAACTGAAACCATTAAACAATGATTAATTGCAGGAGATTCATACATAACAGGTACTGTCCTTTCTAAATTACCTAAAAGAATAGGGAGTAACCTGGTAACATTTTCATTCTGTAGTCAGTGGGCAAAAGCTTGATGTAAAATAGCATGTAGTACAATGTTATCCAGTTTAAAGGGAAAGTGTATACTCATGACTGAGGGCGCTAGAAAAATTTTAAGGCTCGGGCCAGAGATACAGCTCAGTGGCACAAGCACCTGCCTGGCAAGCACAAGGTCCTGAGTTGAATTCCCGGTATCGAAAAAAAAAAGACAAAAAATTTTTTAAGGCTCAAGTTTTAATGCACCAGATATGTTGTTATGTGTCAAATAACACCCTATTACACTTATTAGCTAATTTCATCCTCACCACTTTGTAATCTAGGTGCTATTAAAATGATCTGTGTTTTCTAAATGAGAAGACCAAGAGCTGAGGATGTTAAATGACACATCCAAGGTCAAACCACTAGCAAATCATTGCACTGGAATTCAAACACTGGATTTAGAAGTCCATACCTATAAACATCATGCTATACTAGATACTAAATTATGAGTACACTTTTTTCTGTTTATTAGTTTGCTCTACAATGCACAGACATTACCTTTGGGATGTGTTTCCCACAATTTTGCTTCATAGGTATTATTTGTGTAATGAAGGGTAACATTTTCAGATGACAAGGACAATTTCAGCAAGATGATTTCTTTCTCCCTCTTCCTCTCCCTCTCTGTCTCTCTCCCTCCCTCTCACTCTCCCTGTCTCTCTCTCTGTCTCTTTCCATTCATTCATTGCCCAGCTGGACTCAAATTTGTGATCCTCCCTCTTCACTCTCCGAGTGCTGTCATGCATGGCTTGCTTTTTCCTTTTATTTAAAACAGATGTTGGCAAGTGCAAGGTCGTGAGTTCGGTTCCCGGTACAGGAGAAAAAATAAAATTAAATTAAATTAAATAAAACAGATGTAACATGCCAGGCCTGGTGGCACATGCCTGTAATCTCAGGACTCAAGAGGCTGAGGAAGGAGGACCCCCGCAAGTTCATGGCCAGCATGAACTACATAGTGAGACCCTGTCTCAAAAAGCCAGAGAAGAACAACAACAAAAACAAAATCTTGAAACCTTCAAAAGGTGTGAGACTATTTTAAGAATGCTTTAAGGTATAAACAAATGAATGAAGACATTTTCTTTTCTTCCAATATTAGTTTTAAATTATTGCCAGGGATATAGCTCAGCGGCACAAGCACCTGTCTGGCAAGCGCAAGGTCCTGAGTTTGATTCCTGGTACCAAATATATAAATAAGTAAAATAAAATAAAATAAATTATTACAGAAGAAAATCATAGGTTCAACCTCATTAGTACTCATGAAAGGCAAATTAAAATAATGAGATACCCCTTCATGCCCATCAACCTGGCAAAAATGAAAATCCAATAACTAGTACTTCATCCACTGATAAAGATGTAACACTGCGATGGAGATGTAATAGCTTGTGTGAGGTTGATGGAAGTGTGGGTTGGTGTAAGCACTTCAGAGAGAAAGCCGACACCATCCAGTAACATCGAAGGTGCGAAGGTGCCCGTCCTCTGCAACCTACGGTTTGCTTCTCTGCAAGAGGCTCACTCTTCAAAGTGTGAATCCAGGGCTAGCACCATCCGTGTCACCTGGAAACTTGATGCAAAAACAAAATATCAGACGTCACCCCAGAGAATGCATTTTAACAAGACGCATCAAATGATTGTGTGTACATGTATGAGAAACTTCTGCTTGTATAAACAGGGAGACATGAACAAAAATGCACAAAGTAGCAATATTATTTGTAGTAGCAAAACATGGAAACAGCCAGAAATCCATTCACGAGGTAACAAGTTGTGACACAGTGAGATACATCTGTACTGACAAATCAAGTTAGATGTGTAAATGACAGCCCAAAACAGAGGTGCAGAGTGATATGTATGTATGCATTTCAAGTACAAAATGTAAAATAAGTTATATTATTTTTGGATACTTAAATGTAACAATAGCCTCATGGGAATAAGCTCCAAATTCAGAATAGGGCTTACAGATACAAGGCTTCATGTGTGACTTTTTTAAAGTTGAAAGTTTTACTTCCTGCCTTGTAGGCCCCCGGAGGGAGGGCCCCCGCCGAACAGGGAGACACGGGCGGGGAGCGCCAGTCTTCCGACGGGTGGCTCACTCCCTGCCGCATAGGCCCCCAGAGGGAGGGCCCCCAGCGCACAGGGAGCCATGCGGCCGAGAGCGCTGTGGTGCGCCGGCTTTTAGGCCAGCCGCCGCTGCTCAATTGAGAACTATCATGACACAGAGAAACAATGACACAATTGGCCCACCATGCACCGGCTCCAGATGCCCACCTAAGGACATGTGTGAATCATTCAAACATGGAAAAACCCCTGGGAATACATGCTATACAATGGGCCACTCTTGCTCCTGCCATTGAGAACCAGAAAGCTCTAGAGTCAGCAGAGGAGCAGCTGCTGAACAAGGACTCGGAGAACATGAGAATGCAGACTAAGCCCACGGAGTCAGAGGTCCAGTGGACTGGGGTCATGAGAGCCGCTCGGAAGCTGTAAACCAGGAGGACCTTGCACAACACATGCAGAGACTCCCTGGAAGCCATTCTTCCCCTGACAGTACAGGCTGTGGTGGAGCCCCGGAGAAGTCTGCAGCAAGATTCCTGCTGCCTGTGCTGACAATTGGGGAGAGGACACTAACTGGTTGTGGGGTCCCAATGTGATGGGAGGCTGGAGAGAAAACACTACAAAAAATGGCTTTCGCCCCAGACGGCTCACTTGATTTTTGACA